AAAGATATAAAATGAAAATAAGATGTAAATTTGTGTTAGGTCTGAAAGTGTGATTGACATTTCTGTAGACAAAATGGGCTTAATTGTATGTTTGTAAAAGTGAGGGACTCAATTGAACATTGTTGTAAAAGTCAAGGGCTTAGGGTGAAATTTTGTTTAAGTGGGGTAAATATGTGTTCAAGTCGTTGAAGGAATCCAAGATGTCCAAGAAGATCACACAAGATCATCGGAATGCAATTGAAAGTCTAAAGGATATCAAAGAGCCACACAAATTATATTCCAGATTTTTAGTCGTGATTTGCAACGTATTTTTCACATATAAAATGTTGGAATTTGGACAAGGCTATTTCTATAAGAATTGTAGCCCTTTGAAATTTTTTTTAACGCATTTTGAATTACCTCAATCGGACATTGAGAGAAAGTTATAATGAAAATACTGACGACTGCTCAGTTATCGTCTAAAGGATATCAAAGAGCCACACAAATTATATTCCAGATTTTTAGTCGTGATTTGCAACGTATTTTTCACATATAAAATGTTGGAATTTGGACAAGGCTATTTCTATAAGAATTGTAGCCCTTTGAAATTTTTTTTAACGCATTTTGAATTACCTCAATCGGACATTGAGAGAAAGTTATAATGAAAATACTGACGACTGCTCAGTTATCGCTTGCTCCTTGCTCAAGCGACGGTGTCATCTGGCCAAACTCTAGGTCACGATTTTGAGAGTTTTAAGCAGCCCATGACACTTTCTTACCCCTAACTATAAATACAGAAGTCATGGACATGAAATTCGAGGTTGCTACATTATTCTTTCATAGCCAAACACATTGATAACATCATTGAGTGATCCAAGCTGCAGTTCATTGAAGAATTCACATACATTCATCTTGTGATTTGGCAACCAAGGTCTTGGGAAAAACATCAATCTTCATAACCCAAAACATTGTGTTTTCCTTAATCTGTTGAGGAAGTGACTCTCTCATTGGGGGATTGAAAGAGGTGAATTGAGGCGTAGTTACAAGCATAAGAACAGACGGTTCTTGGTGTTTCACTTAGAGAAACGTTCAGCACAGACCAGGAGGTTGTAGGAGAGAGCAGATTGGATTGCAGGAGATATAGCACGAGTCTAGCAGGAGACTAGAGAAATCTATGACAGCAGAAGACTGTAGGAGGTAGATCAGGAGTTCTAGAGCTAGAGGTGTCTACGGCAGTAGATCGTGAGGCTGTGACAGCGGGTCTTAATGGGTACTTGATAAGCGTATCATTGTATGCTCTGAATTGTCAATAGTGAAGGTAACTGACTTGGTCTCGGAGTTTTTTCCCACATTGGGTTTCTCCGTCAACAACTTTTGGTGTTCTTTATTGTTTTTATAGCTGTCCAAATTATACTTGCGACATTTAAACTTAGGACAAATTGAATTGTATGATTAATTACTTGGACAATTAATTAAAGTGACTTGTTGCTTTAGTTAACTTAATTCTGCACGTAAGGTTGAATTGAACAATTTGTAATCTGGAACGAAAACTCGGCAAATCCTAAAACTTGTAGTGGTATTAGACCGTTCTAGATTCTTTCAATTTGAGAACAACATAAAAAATATTATTGCCATAAAAAATGAAATAAAAAGGAAGGATAGAAAATAGTAATGGCAATTTACCCCGCCCTCCGCCCCGTGAATTTATTATTATTATTTTTAATTAAAATGTTGGGATTCATCTTGCTTCAAATAGAAGGATATGATCTATTTTCTTGTATCCTCAATTGTACAAGTCTTATCAAACTTGACTAATTTATATATACCATTATGTTACTTTGTCAAATTGATATTATATTGATAAAAACAAATATAAAGAGATATAACATGTTCAATTGAACAAATTTGAAAATCTATATATTGTAATAAATTAAACCGTGTGGGGTTACAACTTTTGTAACAATATTAAAGGAAAAAACAAAAAAAAAATCTTGTTCATCCTAATAATCAATATTATGTACCAATAGCGATTATTATATTTAAGATTTGTAGCGTTTATTTTGGATATTAACTTTATCAGTTTGAATATTATCTGTATTTTATTGAACTCGAAATTTGGAGAGAGAGAGAGGAAAAAAAAGCGGGGCAGGAAACGGGCAAGCTTCCTACCCCACCGAAGGTGGGGCGGGGCACGGGGTGGGCACCGAACCCGCCCCGTTGCCATCACTAATAGAAAATCATGCATATGTTCATATATCTTGTTATTTAGTTTTGCAATGTAGGTATGCCAATACAATTATTGGAGGTTAACATTTAGCCCATGTTTGTCATCCTTTAAAAATTTAAATTGTTTGCAATAGTACCATTTTCTACCACACATTCACACAATAAAATATTCTACTCAAAAATCAATAAAATTTCCTTAATTTTTAACTACATATTCTCGAAAAAAAATTCTATTTAATAACTCATTATTTTCAAATAAATTCCATCAAACAAACCCTTAATATCAAATGACGAGATAATGTGCAATGGGTATATGATTGTGGTTAAATGTGTCTATCAATTGGAAAACTTAAAAGATATCACAACTTACTCAAAAGGATCTATTTAGCTATTGGAAGTATGGAAACACATTTTTTTAATCTTAATTCTTAGTTGTCCACTCTATATTTTGAATAGAAAGAACATACTGCATCTATAACTATCCAAAGTAACCGCCGAAGCATCAAGAAGTATATCTATACAGACACCGAATAGTACGACAAATAGTAGGGAAATTCCATTTAAGTCACCATTGTCATCCCATTCTGAATGCCATATTTAAGTATTCACAATCATCTTATTTATTTATTTTTATCTTTTTTACTTTGGTTATCTGTGTTTTCACAAGGTTGAAGGACCCCATCTTTCAGATTCAAACATATGCCTTGCACGTGTACATGTTGCATCATGTATCATAGGGAGATATGATAGTATATTGGTGAAAATCTTTGAACATTGATTACAGTATCGTATCCCAAATACCCAAAATCATATACAAATAATTAGCAACAATATTCTATTCCATGTAAAAATATCTCCAAGCATTTACGCTGAATAATGAGGAATAGCGTAAAGAGGGCCATTTGACTATAGTACTTCGAGAGAAATAATTATGCACTGCTAGAATGTCACTATGATGCAATATAGGTAATTGTAAGAATCAATTGACTACAAAGCCATTTGCAAATTTGTAGGTAAACAATACCATAATGTGGAACTGCAGTGTCAACAAGAACGAATGATCGATCTAATTATTAAAAGACATGCTCCAAGCCTGTATTTTGGGATTCTCGCATCAACGAGATCGAATTTTTGTACAATGATAACTAACGAGCTTCGATAGGATTGTTATCTTATGTACAAGAAAACGTTGACAATTGTTATATATAGTAGGACTAGAGCGATAGCTTCTCAAGATACATCACTAGTTGAAAGAATTTGGAAGAAAATATCACATCAATAACCAAACAAATATCACTTTTTGAGTGAATGGTTCAATTATCAACATCTCGTGACATAGGGCTGCTCGAAATTTGTAGAGATAGTCAAGTGGATTGATTATAAACCTAAGCTAAGAGAATTAACGAGTAAAATAATAATTTTTATTTTTCATATAATTTTTATGGAGATTTTTGATATTCTTCAAGGCAATGGGAGCACGCTCTATAGGAAGTTGAATTTTAATGGTAATATCTTGATTAATTTTTATGTAGATGATCTAATTTTTACAAGAGTTTTGTTGGAAGTACAAGGCATTTGACATGAGCACGACCTAAGAATTTTGTGGGGGGGCTAGTCTCGTTATTTTGTATATGGAGTTCCTCACCATAACACATTTGTAGGTCACAAAAAGATCGATGCATCAACTTGTTCATATTCTAATCATTTCAAGTTTGTCTATTATAGCAAGGATGATTGGGGTAGAGATGATCATAAAAACCGAACAAGTTGTCATGTTTTCTTTACTAGAGATACTACTTTTATACATAGTCTTTGAAGGAGTAACTCATTGTATTGCTTTCAAGTTGTGAAGTGGAGTATATTGTACTCTTAGATTTTTGCATTCTATCAAGCAATTGGATTAGAAATTTGTTAAAGGAAGTTCATTTGCAACAAGATGAGTTGATAAAGATTCTTGCTAACAACAAGTTAATATTATCGTTGGTTAAGAATCCACTTTTTTCATGATCAAAGTGAGTACATCAATATGAAGTATCATTTTGTTCGAGTATGTGTTGACAAATAATATGTGGAGTTAAAATTCGTGAAGTCTCTAGATATTTTCACAAGTTATTGATGATTGATGCATTTTCGAAGTTTTGAAGCTTACTTAGAGTACTATAAATCATGTTCAAGGGGCCTGGAGTATGTTATTGTTACATTTTGCGTTCTGTCAAGCAATTGGATTAGAAATTTGTTAAAGGAAGTTGGTTTGCAACAGGATGTGCTGACTGAGATTCTCGTTGACAACAAGTCAACATTATTGTTGGTCAAGAATCCACTTTTTCATGATTGAAGTTAGTACATCAATATGAAGTATAATTTTATTTGAGCCCATGTTGACAAACAACATCTGAAGATAAAATTCATGAAGTCTCAAGATGCACGAACAATTAATATTGGATATATGTACTAGATTAGATACATAATTTAAAGCCTATATAAGGCTTGAGATATTAGTCATTTTATGCAAGTTAATCTATGAAACAAAGTAGAGCGTTCTCGAATTTATCATTTTCTCAATTAAAAGTAGTTTTTCATCTCCAAGTTTCGTACAAGATGCAAAGTAATTTGTATTTCTTGAAGTGCAATGTCAGAAAAGAGAAGCGAAAATGTCACGTAGCTGCTTTATTAAGTTTATTGTTATGTCTGTATTTTGATTTTCGTTGAACGCTTTTTGCATTTTTCCTGCATGTCTTGAGATGTTAAAAGATATAACTATTTTCCCTCTTCACCGCTGGTTTGTAATGAGCAAGTAATTAGAAAAAACTTTAATATTGAAATAATTGCAAATTCTCAATTAGGCCTCTGTGGTCAACTCTCCAAAGAAAAGATGAACCATTACATGTGGAATGTTCATCAAGCCATCATATTATTGTTCTTCTTGGACAGCAGCACCTCCACAAATTTATCAAAGTTCAAGTGAGATGAACCATTGATTTCGGTGGCTCCTTTAGCCTTTTTCATCCACTCAACTGCTTTATTCTTCATCTTCTTACCCTTCTTTCCATCAATTAGTTCCCTCACAATCTTCTCTACTTCAACTCTATCGACATTATTATCAATTTCTAAGCCAACACCCCATTCCGTGCATGAAAACCTACAATTAATGAACTGATCAGCAAAGAATGGCCAGCAGATCATCGGCACACCACAAGACATGCTTTCAATTGTCGAGTTCCAGCCACAATGCGTTAGGAAAACTCCAATAGACGGGTGGTTGAGCACCTGTTCTTGTGGGCACCAACTTGCAATGAGGCCTCTCTCTTTAGTTTCTTCGACAAACTCAGACGGCAAATTAGCAGAATCGCCAACTACAGTGTCTGACCTGATTATCCAAACAAAGTTTTTCTTACTATTCGCAAGTCCCCAAGCGAATTCAACGAGTTGCTGCGGTGTCAAGACTGTTATGCTACCGAAGTTCACGTACACCACTGAGTTCCGTTTCTTTGGGTTAAGCCACTCCAGACACCCTGTCTCTTCTTTCCAAAGGTTACCTGTTGAAACAACTCAAGAGTTTAAACATAAGTTGCTTGGACTTGAGTACGAGTATCGGATACAGATACATATCTAAGTGTCGAATCTTATATTTTTCAAAATGTAGAATACAAGAGCATGGTTAAAAAGAGTGCAAATTTCGAATACGAGTACGTGGGTACGTTTTTTAAATTTCAATTTTTTCCCCAAAAAATCACATATAAAAAGTTAAACAATAATTAGTTGCAAATTGTTAAAAAATAAACTTGTCAACTATTATTTGATTACTTCTATTTTTTCAAGTTTTGAAAAAAATATTAATTTTAGAAAATGCTATTAAAGTGTTCAAAAACATTTATTTATGTTGATTTTATAATTATTTGTCAATCATTTTGGCCATAGAAAAATTACATTTTAAATTTTTTTTAAAACTTTTATAACAACATTTACCATGATTTATTTTTTTCCTAATTAAAATGATCTTCTCTAGATTGAAAGAACAAGAAACCATATTTAAGAAATAATAAATCTCATGTATACTCAGCCAATAAGACTATAAAATTCAAAGAAAGAGATAAATAAACCCAACAAATAAAAGTGTAATGCTGTAAATATACTTAAGAGGAAGTTACAAAATTCTAGGCATTTCAAGATTTCAGTGCAAAAATTAGGTGAATTTTTTTTTTTAATTCACAATTCAGGTATTGATTTAACAATTAATATTACAGCTTATTTGGAAGTGATTTTTTAGCCCAAAAAATTAATTTTTTGACCGTTATTTCACTATTTCAGTCGTCATGTTTGACTTCTTCTCTCACAGATGGACCCCACTTTTCTCCTAACGATCAAAAAATTAATTTTCAAAATCACTTCCAAACAGACTCTTAATAATATCAATTTTAAATATATCAACACTATCTCATCTCAATCCAATTATAGACCTTAAAATTCATATTCATTTCTCTCCATTTCTTCCTTCTCACTCTTCCCACTTAAGCCACTCCTCCGACGGCGCCGCCTACTCCCGGAGATCATTGCCCATTGTCGGAGACCATCATAGTAGCGCGGCGATGAGAAGAGGATTTCTATAATTTGATCTGCCGATTTTTGAAGAAGAAGATAAAGAACATAGGGGAAAAGAACCTGAATCGTCAATGCTATACTCCTGGAGATCGCTGCCGCAACGCGACAATGAAAAGAGGATTTCTATAATTTGATCTGCCGATTTTTGAAGAAGAAGATAAAGAACATAGGGGAAAAGAACCTGAATCGTCAATGCTATACTCCTGGAGATCGCTGCCGCAACGCGACAATGAAAAGAGGATTTCTATAATTTGATCTGCCAAATTACTCAACTAGATTTGCTGAATTTCAATAATATTTTCTTTTCAGCACAAAACACCACTGTGGCGGTGATGGTGTTTGTGTGGTGGGGTTTTGTGGTGGTGGATTTGGCGGTTGGGAGTGGGTTTTATTGAATTAGACAGTGGTTTGGGGGTGTTTTGGTGATGTTGGGGGGTTTTAGCGTTTTTGTTGGTTGTGCAGGTAGAGGTACTAGTAATACGGTGGATCTGACGACGGTTGGTGGAGGTGGTGGCAGATGGCGACTGCAATGGCAATGGTGGTGTGGAGGTGGTAGTGTTGTGGTGCTAACAATAGTGGTCGCAAGTGGTGGGAGTATTGGTAGCGGTGAACCAATTATTTAGTTATTAAACTGTGACATTAAAATTTGATTAGTACTAACTAAAATATAATTTATGACCAACAAATTTGAAAATTTGTAATTGATAATAAACTGTTATTTGTAATTTTTTTGATTTGTGACCAATAAAATAATCGGTGACCTATAAATTTTTTTATTTGTGACCTCAAAATAATCAGTGACCTATGAATTTGATAATATGTGACCGGTAAAAAAGTTGTGACCTATAATTATGTATATGTGATCATTAATTATATATTTGTAACCTTGTTAAATTTAATTAATAAATATTTATAATTAATTTGCTAATATTTGAGTTTTGCAATTTAAAACTTGACACCTAAAAATTGAATTATGTCAAAGTTAACACTTGATTTGTCAATTTTTCTCAATACTTCAACCACAATGGATTAAAAAAAAGGTCCAACAATTAAAAAACAAAACAGGCTTAACTACTGTTCTCCATGGACAACCTAAGAAAAAGGGCCCAAAAGGCCTAGAAAAAAAACAAAAAACAGGCCCAAGTCCAACTACCCCTCCTTCCCCAAACCAGCAACCACGCGATTCTCTGCAACAATGGTGACGGCGGAAGTCCAATAGTTTCCATCCCTTGCTGTGTCCGGCTGAAATTTGCCATGTACACCCCGTATTTCATACCCATACCTGTGTCATGTCGTGTGAACACGAGTATGTCGACCAAAAAGAAGGGTCCGGGCATCACAGGTTCAAATTCAATTGTTAAGGAATAAAATCCCAGATCGAATAAGGAAGAAAATATAGAACAATTTATGAGGATTTGAGTTACTCATTTTAATAAGGTTGACCTTTTAAAATGAAACTCTAAGCTTTAACATTGTATTAGAGCCCTTTAAACTCAAAATGAGGGATTTGATCTGATTAAGATTCAAAAAATGAGCCCACGAATTTCAGGTTTGGTCTACTCAAACGAGCTACCATCTTGCAAGAACATGTTAAGGAATAAAATCTCATATCGAACAAAAATGAAAATATAGACCAACTTATAATTATTTAGACTACTCCACTTAACAAGATTGACGTTTAAAGATAGAATTTCAAGTTTTTGTTGTTTCTAGAGTTTGAATTCACTCCTTCGAAAACAATCCGACAGAATTACCTGAATGCAAGAATTGATCAACAGGATCCAAAATTGTATTTTATGTTGTAAGTAGTTAGAAAAAAAATCACTTTTAATCATTGTTCTCGTTTATTTTCGTCAAATAGAAGTTAGAAATAATAAATTGAGTATTAAAGTATAGTTCTCGTGGGAACGATAATTCGGATTCAAAAGGTCCACTTTACTACTTGTTACGATCCGTCCACTTGTGGGATAAAATCGACAACACTACTGTATCAATCCATAAATCGAACAAGATTACAAGAGGTTACCTGTATAATTATATAATACATTAAACTCTTTGAATTATATATATATATATATATATATATACAAAAATGATTTCCTAAGTATTGATACTTAATTTATAATTGATGAATAAATTAATGGTTGGTCTCATGAAGAAGACCGTCGCTTTTATATTTTTGTCATTAAACGTCTTGGTACAATATGATTTGCAAGTCAAAATCTAGATTGTAATCTAAGTCAAATTTAACAATTAATTTCAATCATATATTTTATTGGTTTCATAACTTTTTAAGCACACAACTTATCAACTTCTATCCAAATTTACTAAAAATCTGATTTTAATTCCCACCAAACATGGGCATAATAAAAATTCATCCAAAAGAAAGACTTTGTTGACATTTACATTCTAATTATTTCAAGTCCATATTATAATGACATTATAAAGGCAAAATTGACTACACACGAAATCTTTTTCACCACAATGCTCCGTTCAACTATACAAATCAATTCTTTTCTTCCTTAATTGACAAATTACGAAGAGAGGCCAAAGTCAATGTGAACAAAGTGACGATGATTATAATTGTAGGACAATTTGATTGGTGCCCAAATTTGGTGTAACGTGCTCTACTGTTGCACAAATAATTCATGATTCAGGTGGTTCCCAAAAATAATTATTTGCAAGGAATGTGAAACAGACCCGCAGCACGCATTTAGCGTTTCACAATCACGATTGTGGCACGATCAACATGATTTTTTTGCAAAAAATCATGTATTACATGTTATAGTAATTGCGTTGATTATTCTATACAAAGTGATAATCGAGGATGAACATAATGGTGATGTACTAATTGAAAATTAGGGATTGAAGTTATGATTTCAAGAGTTGAAATGGTTGTAGATGAAAATAGTCGAATTTTTTATTCATAATGACAAATCAAAGATAAACAGGCTTATATTACACTTCAAAATGCATTAGTTAATTAATCAATTGTTAGATGAATATTTTAATTTTGAAAATTAAGTAACAAAATTAATTGGATTTTATATATTTGTTTTGTGAAAATTTTATATTATATTATGACGTTAAATATAATATATTATTTTAAATTATGATATTAAGTATAATAATTTTTTATTTAAATTTAATATAAATGCTATTTTAGTTAATTAAATGTAATTTTTTAATTTAGTAACTTTAGTAGTTATAAAATTTGTAATTAAATAATTTTCAAAATAAAATAGTTATTGAAAATTTAAAAATAAGGAAAGGGAGGGATTTATTATTATTATTATTATTATTATTATTATTATTATTATTATTATTATTATTATTACTACACTAAAAAATTGGACTAAAATCAATTTCAAAGTTAACGCTTAATTTTAACCACACACGAAAATCTATGATCCACAATTTTTCAACCATATATTCTATCAAATTTTATAAAAATTTACTATAAATATGATTTTTATCTAAATCAAATAGGTGCTAAATAAGATAGTGTGAAAATTGTACCATTTTTTGTGTGAAAGTTGCACATTTTGGTGAAAATTGTTGAAGTAATAGTTGGGAAAAAAAAGCACCATAGGCAGTGTTAGCTAACACTTCGTGGCATAGGAACTGCAAATCGGTACAAACAAAAACCATATACCGTAGTCATGACTATTTGGTGATTTATATATCTTTGGAGTTTTTTGAGTTATTGTAGCGACTTAGGATGGATCTATAAACATTGGTCATAGTTCACTTGTTATTAATCATATTTATGTTTGAGTTCATACGACACACTTGGTAGATTCGGCATCCAAAGATATAAAATGAAAATAAGATGTAAATTTGTGTTAGGTCTGAAAGTGTGATTGACATTTCTGTAGACAAAATGGGCTTAATTGTATGTTTGTAAAAGTGAGGGACTCAATTGAACATTGTTGTAAAAGTCAAGGGCTTAGGGTGAAATTTTGTTTAAGTGGGGTAAATATGTGTTCAAGTCGTTGAAGGAATCCAAGATGTCCAAGAAGATCACACAAGATCATCGGAATGCAATTGAAAGTCTAAAGGATATCAAAGAGCCACACAAATTATATTCCAGATTTTTAGTCGTGATTTGCAACGTATTTTTCACATATAAAATGTTGGAATTTGGACAAGGCTATTTCTATAAGAATTGTAGCCCTTTGAAATTTTTTTTAACGCATTTTGAATTACCTCAATCGGACATTGAGAGAAAGTTATAATGAAAATACTGACGACTGCTCAGTTATCGCTTGCTCCTTGCTCAAGCGACGGTGTCATCTGGCCAAACTCTAGGTCGCGATTTTGAGAGTTTTAAGCAGCCCATGACACTTTCTTACCCCTAACTATAAATACAGAAGTCATGGACATGAAATTCGAGGTTGCTACATTATTCTTTCATAGCCAAACACATTGATAACATCATTGAGTGATCCAAGCTGCAGTTCATTGAAGAATTCACATACATTCATCTTGTGATTTGGCAACCAAGGTCTTGGGAAAAACATCAATCTTCATAACCCAAAACATTGTGTTTTCCTTAATCTGTTGAGGAAGTGACTCTCTCATTGGGGGATTGAAAGAGGTGAATTGAGGCGTAGTTACAAGCATAAGAACAGACGGTTCTTGGTGTTTCACTTAGAGAAACGTTCAGCACAGACCAGGAGGTTGTAGGAGAGAGCAGATTGGATTGCAGGAGATATAGCACGAGTCTAGCAGGAGGCTAGAGAAATCTATGACAGCAGAAGACTGTAGGAGGTAGATCAGGAGTTCTAGAGCTAGAGGTGTCTACGGCAGTAGATCGTGAGGCTGTGACAGCGGGTCTTAATGGGTACTTGATAAGCGTATCATTGTATGCTCTGAATTGTCAATAGTGAAGGTAACTGACTTGGTCTCGGAGTTTTTTCCCACATTGGGTTTCTCCGTCAACAACTTTTGGTGTTCTTTATTGTTTTTATAGCTGTCCAAATTATACTTGCGACATTTAAACTTAGGACAAATTGAATTGTATGATTAATTACTTGGACAATTAATTAAAGTGACTTGTTGCTTTAGTTAACTTAATTCTGCACGTAAGGTTGAATTGAACAATTTGTAATCTGGAACGAAAACTCGGCAAATCCTAAAACTTGTAGTGGTATTAGACCGTTCTAGATTCTTTCAATTTGAGAACAACATAAAAAATATTATTGCCATAAAAAATGAAATAAAAAGGAAGGATAGAAAATAGTAATGGCAATTTACCCCGCCCTCCGCCCCGTGAATTTATTATTATTATTTTTAATTAAAATGTTGGGATTCATCTTGCTTCAAATAGAAGGATATGATCTATTTTCTTGTATCCTCAATTGTACAAGTCTTATCAAACTTGACTAATTTATATATACCATTATGTTACTTTGTCAAATTGATATTATATTGATAAAAACAAATATAAAGAGATATAACATGTTCAATTGAACAAATTTGAAAATCTATATATTGTAATAAATTAAACCGTGTGGGGTTACAACTTTTGTAACAATATTAAAGGAAAAAACAAAAAAAAAATCTTGTTCATCCTAATAATCAATATTATGTACCAATAGCGATTATTATATTTAAGATTTGTAGCGTTTATTTTGGATATTAACTTTATCAGTTTGAATATTATCTGTATTTTATTGAACTCGAAATTTGGAGAGAGAGAGAGGAAAAAAAAGCGGGGCAGGAAACGGGCAAGCTTCCTACCCCACCGAAGGTGGGGCGGGGCACGGGGTGGGCACCGAACCCGCCCCGTTGCCATCACTAATAGAAAATCATGCATATGTTCATATATCTTGTTATTTAGTTTTGCAATGTAGGTATGCCAATACAATTATTGGAGGTTAACATTTAGCCCATGTTTGTCATCCTTTAAAAATTTAAATTGTTTGCAATAGTACCATTTTCTACCACACATTCACACAATAAAATATTCTACTCAAAAATCAATAAAATTTCCTTAATTTTTAACTACATATTCTCGAAAAAAAATTCTATTTAATAACTCATTATTTTCAAATAAATTCCATCAAACAAACCCTTAATATCAAATGACGAGATAATGTGCAATGGGTATATGATTGTGGTTAAATGTGTCTATCAATTGGAAAACTTAAAAGATATCACAACTTACTCAAAAGGATCTATTTAGCTATTGGAAGTATGGAAACACATTTTTTTAATCTTAATTCTTAGTTGTCCACTCTATATTTTGAATAGAAAGAACATACTGCATCTATAA